AGAAAACAGGACAAAGTTAGGACACCCAAAATATCTGTCACCTGGTCAGAAAAATTATTGTTCAGCAATTCATTTCTGTATTTTCTGCAAAACTTTGCTCTAAATCTAAATTAAATGATAGATTTTGATGTCATATGACAAAACCAGTAATACATGTTTGAAGGAAAATTAATGTTTGCATACTCTTATTCTAGGGATAAAGGTTGGTATTTAGGATACACAATTATCTTGTGTGATTCAATTGTAGATTTACACTCAAGCTTAATATATTCAATGCATATTTAAAATATGTAGTTGGTCTGTACTATAGGAAATCCTCTGGCAGATAAATTACTTCACTGAATTAATAATTACGAATTTTGAAACAATAATTAAGATTTGAAACAATATTAGCACACTAATTCTTATTTTTCAAAAAATATTTCAGAGGTAGATTCCCCGTCTTTTATTTTTGATGTTGACAAAAAATAACTCTTGAATGGATGTTTTACACAGGCCTTCATTATAACCTTAAGCTCGTTATGACCTCAAATATTTTTCACTTTACTAAATATGTTAAATGCCAAAAATTCTATATCCCTAATTCAAATATCATTTTTTTTAGTTTGCATGATGTCCCCAGTATATAATGTGAATCAATATTTTATCATAAAATATATATCAACTTAATTATTTTAAGTTAAAAAAGTTAATTAAAAAAAAATTAAAAAGTTCACTTTTACAAATCTCTCTTGATGACCCAGATTGAAGCACACAAGTTATCTTACTGTGGAAGGCAACCAGCATGTTTGGTTGGTCGGGGAAACTCTTGTTGTCAGGCTGATTACTCCTTACTTCAGATGTCTTGGTGAATGGCGAGTGCATTACCACTTTGCCACCCAACTTTGACCTATCAAATGTTTTGGGTGTCCTTTTATGTAACGAATTACACATATTAAAAAAAGATTGATGTACAATTTTGAAATGGACAGCACATTTAAGTAAATCACCTTGTACAATAGTAATAGATACATATATATAATACTGGCAAATAAATTGACACATGGTATATATATAAGTAAAAATTGCTGCAAAACGGGGCTTTAAACAACTGACACTGTGTATCTGTACAGAGCAGGGGAGATAACTAGCATAATTCCATAGTAGGCCATGTTTTTACATCAAACGAAAAGTAAATCAATGACTACAGGACAGTTAAGGAGGAGTTTTAAAGTCATTTTTTGGTACTAAACATTTTCTTGAATGAAAGAAAACAGCCATCTAAACTGGCCATCTTAAACTACAAGTTTACGACCATAGAAACAGTCACCAGATTTCCTTTTATATGATAGAATAATGATTATGTCACAGACCTATAACTATACTTGACTGTAAGATTCAAGATGTACTGGACGGCTGTCACGCTTCTGTTGAGTACAAGAAATCAAAGAAGATATTGTTACAAGTTAGGGAGTTTGAATGTGTAAGCAGCATCAATATACGTACATTGGAGGAGAGGTCACCAACAAAACTTCTTAATATAGTTTTCGGTTTTTTATGCCTCAAATATCAAATGTATCTGACATGTTTGATGACCATCATTCCAAATAAAGCAGTATCATTTCTCCATGGAGGCAATACATTATGATGTTGATTATATGAAGGCAGGAGAGGTATAAAGAAAGTGTTTTTAAGAAGAATTTACAGATTGCACCAATTGTCCAGGTAATGGTTTTCAATATAAGATGAAGTAGATTGATGCTAGAAAAATTCAAGCAAACTTATAGATACAAGGCATATGTATGCTTTTGTCAAAGGAATCTCTCTCTGCAAATTTTCACCGACTTAAAACAATAGAGTTGTATTATATGACTGAGAAAATGATCAAGGTATGATTGATATCAAAGAAAATTTGTATCTGATGAAAAAAAATATCTGTATTAAAAATACATAGTACATGTATAAACAAACTCAACATAAGAAAAAAATGTTGAAATATCAATTTAATATCAATTTTTTTTATCAAAGAATATTTGTTTGTTGATTGTTTTTGAAAAAAATGATGCTGTTATACCACAACATTTTACACTTCCCTTCTCTGAGGTAAAAAGAAAATGCAAACGTAAGGTACTTGATGGGGAATGTTTTACTTGACTAAAATGATGGATAGGAAGATGATATTTTGTTTCCTCCATTCCATTAAGGATACGAGTCATGTTTCAATACAACATCCTTATGAAATATCTATCCTGAATATCAAGCACTCTGATTTAAAACTGATTTTGTGTTTGTTGTGTCATTTAAAGGGAGATAACTTTTACACAAAATACCAGGTATAAAAGTACCAGATAGCCTAAGTGAGGGTTATTTTAAGTGGCTAAGCATAAGTAGCAAATGCTACAGAAGATCATTTTCTACAAGTCCAGTAATTTCAGCCCTACATCCCATAGGGCAATGGTCAATTTATTTTACAGCTTGGTCCCACCAAAAACACCATGATGGGGAAGAATCAGAGGTCTAATCACTTGATTTTCAGTTAAGATAGTAACTTTCATCACTCTTGAGAAACTTCAAAGTGTCAATGAAGTAGTTACAAGACAATGTGTTGCTTTATATGGATATGTGTATCATGTATGGACACAAGAGACAGAGTTATGATGCTCTACAGGACTGCCATAAAAGGTCAAGGTTACGACCAGGAACTAAAAGAGAAATGTATACTTTAGTGTGTCTTTTATTGGAGAATGTGATGACAGCTGTTCTTTTTTTAATGAGCAACTTCCTCTTTCAGAAATCTTTGGAATGATGAGGTCACAAAGTTGGTCTCTACGAATGATCTAAGGAGGCTGTAAAACCCATATACACTTGATGAACTGGGTTATAGTTACCTTGTCATTACCTGCATAGTATCAATAACGGTCCAAAATAGATACAAGAATAAGATCAGTAATATTTCAGTACACGTAAGCTCAAATTTTCCCTTGTGTCATTCACTACCTTGTAAATGGTCAGTCTGTTGAAAGGTTCTTGTTTTTCTTCACATCTTCAGTATATATCGTATACATCCAGTAATAAGCCCATGTCTGGCAATGAGTAAATCCCAATTATACTGCTGCTCTGAAAAACTGTCCTATAACAAGCCCAACCGTTGAGTTTCAGTTTCAGAAATCATGTACTTGTTTGGTGATTGAAGATTAAAGACCAACTGATATAAATATATCTTTCTGAACAGTATTTTCTGAAACATTTCATGCAGAATTATCTTACAAAAATTAAAAATTGGTATATATAATACAAATACTACAAAAATCTTTGTAAATACAAGTCAAAGAGTTATGAACATTTAGGCAACAGAAACTTGTATGCATCAATATTATGCATTTCAGTTAATCAAATCAAATGAAAAAATATTTTTTGGCATATGATGAAAAAAAAATTGATTAAAAAATAATAAAACATAAAAATTGAGAGAAAAACTAGTAACAAAACCATATATATCTTAATGTATGGCAGTGGAAATATTCATAGTGAAATAAAAATCACAGACAGCACATCATAGTTAAGTAGCTATAAAAAGTGGAGATTTTGTTTCTGAAAAAGGTTTTCTGAACATCAACACAATCAACAATAGAATATCTAAAAACTATCCTACAAAATGTTTTTTGACTAGATATCTGATATAGTAGGACATATTATATATACATGTAAATAAAAACTTCTACAACATTGTATATAGACATATATCTATTGAAATCTCTGACATTGTCAAATCCCTTTGACACTACAACATAGATAAAAGAATGGAATTCTTGGACTTCTTTAATGTTATGGTTTTCTAAATCAAGTAATATTATTTAAATGAAGCACACTGGAGTATACATTTGCTGTCCCAGAAAATCCATACATTTCAGAAGAATATTCTAATAGAATTACATCTATTTCAATTTTTGACTGCAAATTTCTTTTTCCCTGATATGTATTTATCTGAAAATACAATTTTTAGGCAAATAGGGATTTTGAAAAACATGCATACACAAATACATGTATTCAGTACAATAATATGATACTTGCAGATAATTCCTCTATGAAAAACCTACCGTTTAGCAATCCACAGAACATTCAAACTGAAGTCTTAAGACAACTGTGATTCCATAAAACTTGGAAGATTCTGCCGCCCATTCAACCCCATATTTTAGATACAGGCTAATCTAAACCGCATTCATCTGATAAAATGGCCGGATTCCTCGGACAATTTTGAGTTTTATTGTCAACAGTTTTGCTCGGTGGGTAAATGACTTATAATTAATGATCCACACTGCGTAATCATTGATAACATGATGGAATAAGAATTACCTGCCTTGAACATTTTTTTTCCTATAATGGAAAAAAACTTCTATCTGAACTGTGAACACAACCCATTTACAAAATAAATAAATAAATAAATGGGTGGATTTCCTTATCGTTTTTAACTCTTTTGGAGATAATGTAGTATGTCTCCTTAAGGATTATCAGGGATTATTTCTTCGGTCTTTAAAGGCAAAGGAAGTATGGTAAACTGCAGAAATAGATGTCTTTACAGATTAGTTGGGAAAGCTGGAATGTTCCACTAGTAGTACAAAAAAAATGTAAAAGAATAACAATTTAAGTGAAATGGAATACTTGAAGGTAAATTTAGAAAATTCAAACACAACAGTTCTTTCAGCCTTGCTGGATAAAACATGAGTTACCTCCCTTTCCACACTTGGAACCTACCGTCAAATCCCTGAAAATCAGTAAACACTTCACTAGATAATGTGTTGTCATATTGCACTGATAAACTGTATATATTCATATCCATATCCAAACTTAAAATCATCAGCTCTGTTAAGAGATAGTTTTCCACCATGTACATTGGGAATGACTTCAACACAATGGACCAAAGTAGGATCTCAAATGCTCAATCTATTCTTGTCCATTACAAAGTTGCAGTATTCTCTTTACCATCAGTTTCTCTACTCTGGTAGATATATATATGTCCACACAACATAAAGTAAGATATCTATGTAAATTTTTTCCTAGTGATGTCTGCTTGCAAGCCCTTTTGAGCTTTAGGCTGAGTTCTTTGTCAAAGTTAAAGGTAGGCAGGACCTCAGAATGTAAGAGACTGATCTCCAGCTGTCTCTGTTTACTACTAGATGTAATCTCCCAACCTGGACACAGTCAACCACAAGAAGAAGTCTCCATCTAGAACAAAAGGTTCAGAATGATCTCCCCTTGTTTTTCTTGGCTCTCATCGCTGACAATTACTCCTGTTTATCGGTTGGTTTTACAACATTACAACTGTAATTGTTTGCTGTGATGTCACATATCTCCTTCACTGCGAGGTCCGTTTTTGAACATTGAGCTTTTCATTTGAGTCTTTGTGTAACGTTGGCCAGGGCAACAGCGAACGCCTGTATGGCAGTGAACGGATACTGGAAGTCCAGCGTGTAGGCATTACTGTCTATTCTACCAAACTGCATAACCTGGAAAACAAAAATTAATTTTTGAAAAATTGAAAAATTCACAGTTTCTAAATTTTCCAATTGTGAAATAAACACATTTTTGAACAGTTATCACATCTCATTCTCAAAATAGTTCAAGTTGTTTTTTTCAGTTTTGGAACTCTTTTGAAGAGGAGATGCATACCATACTAAGGTATCATGTCTCCTTACCATTATCAGGCATGATTTCTTCAATCTCTGATGACAAAGACAGTATGGTAAACTCTAGGAATAAACATTTCTCAGGAATCAATAGGTAAAACTTTGTGGAATACAAGTAGATTGTACAAGAATTAAAGAGAAATGGAACTAAAATGAAAGGTATTATAGATAAGGTATTATGTATTCTTAAATATGAGGAACATTTTCTTTGCAAAATTAATATAGACTAGCAATAGAAACAAATAAACTGGAAAAAAATCTAATTTCTATGAGACACTATTTATCAATATCATAGAATGATGAAACCATTTAAACTCATTATGATTATATCCCTCAAATTAAAGTGATATATCTACACCCCTATTACTTAGCATACTGTAACATTATACAAAATATTGAGATATAAAAGGCAGATATTCTTTTTACAACCATAATTATGCCGCAATAAGCCAGGTGGTAACATATTAATTCTTACCCAAAGTCAGGAAGTGGGCTTATTACAGGACAATAAAATACCAATGATTTGTAATTCAAAGAACCTTCAAAAGATAGGAATAGGCTTATTACATGTCATTAGCGTATTAACAGATAAATACAGTAAGCACAGCATTTTTCTGTCAGTGGACTGCCTTAATCCAGTACATATTAACTTGTCTGTAACCCCTTTTTGATAAATTCAGGGTTTTATACGCACAAATCACCAAGGGTCATTGCATGAAAGCCAAAATAAAGGATAACCTTGTCTGTAAAAATGGAATAGTGATTACACTCTTTACCTGGCGTTTATTACATCTCTAATGTGATCAAAAGATCAATGAACGAATCCCTTCTTCACTAAATATATAACAACAAAGCATAATTAAAGGATATTAACCATAGCTAGCCTGCCCTGCAATATATATTTACCCAAAATTTTATACTTTGTGGTAAGTTAGAACTATCTGAAAGAGAGTGTCCCAAAAATAGTTAATATCTACCATAAATTCCTACTATGCAGCAAGTCTGTATACCAGAAATACCTCCATATATAAGCCACATTGGTATACATGTATATGCCACACAACCCATGATCCACGAGGGAAAAAGTTGCAGCTTATAAACCATAAAATAGGGTATACCAGAATTAGAGAGTATCTAATATAAATGTCTATTCTGTACCAAGTCAGTATGTCAGAAATAGTAAATATCTACCTAAGAATGGTGAACCAGAAATAGTAAATATCTACCTAAGAATGGTGAATTAGAAATAGTAAATATCTACCTAAGAATGGTGAATTAGAAATAGTAAATATCTACCTAAGAAGGGTGAACTAGAAATAGTAAATATCTACCTAAGAATGGTGAATTAGAAATAGTAAATATCTACCTATGAACCAGAAATAGTAAATATCTACCTAAGAATGGTGAATTAGAAATAGTAAATATCTACCTAGGGTGAACCAGAAATAGTAAATATCTACCTATGAACCAGAAATAGTAAATATCTACCTGAAGAAGGCTTAACAGCAATGCCCCACTATGCAGTAAATATCTACCTTACATAGGGTATAAAGAAATAGTAAATATCTACCTTACATAGGGTATAAAGAAATAGTAAATATCTACCTTACATAGGGTATAAAGAAATAGTAAATATCTACCTTATGTAGAAATAGTAAATATCTACCTTATGTAGGGTATAAAGAAATAGTAAATATCTACCTTATACTGGACACAAGAAATAGTAAGTATCTACCTTACATAAGGTATTTACTAAGTTTTCCGTAACGCTTGAGTTTAATATTTCCTCATAACTGTCTAAGAAGTGATGCATAATATCTGCCATGGATTGTTGTCCTTTTGCAAATAAGCTACCTCAGAATACCATCAGCTTTCCTGAAAACCAAGGCAATAACCTTTCAAGTTGATGGAACAGTCTTTGCCTTCTGTGGTGGGAGTGAACCAGCATGCTTCTATTGTTTAGACTGTTGTTTGGCCTCTGGGACCCACGTTTCATCCAAAGTCACAAACCTCTGCAGAAAGATAACAGGATCTGCCTCTAAAAGGCTTAGATTTGGATGCAACAAAGTTGGCCTGCTGTGCTTCTGATCAACTATCAGAAGTCTTGGTACCCATTGGGTTGTGAGCTTTCTCATTGCAAAATCTTTGGTAAGGCTGGAATGTAATCTTTCCAGTGAAATCCCAACTGTACTGGTTATGTATCTTTCTGAAACTCGCCTGGTAGCCAGAACAATATCATGGACTTAATTGACTATATCTCAGGTTGCAACAATGACATGCATTCCAGAACGGGCATCATCCCCAAGGCTCTGCCTGCCACACTTAAAAATTCTTCCACCCACCTTTTCACTGTAGCATATGAAGGGGCATCATTCCCTATTGTTGCTACCATATCAGTATGGATATCCTTAGGTGCTAGACATTTCTTATGCAAATATTGAATCACTGCTCTTACAGCGAATTTGTCCATTTTGCGAAAGTTACTTGCCTTGTTTATTTAGAGCTCTACCTCTGCAACATAAACTGACCAAATGACCTCAGCCTTTAGTAGCCAGGGAATAGTAGGACTGAAAATGGGCAACCCTGCTTATCTTCTTCAATACAAGGCTCACAACTTATCAATCGGCTCTTGTATCTACAGTAAATGCCCTACTATGCAGAAAATATCAACCTTACATAGGGTATAAAGAAATAGTAAATATCTACCTTATGTAGGGTATAGAGAAATAGTAAATATCTACCTTATGTAGGGTATAAACAAATAGTAAATATCTACCTTACATAGGGTATAAAGAAATAAGATCTAATACTGGCAAGAAATAGCGAATATCTACCTTACATAGGGTATAAAGAAATAGTAAATATCTACCTTACATAGGGTATAAAGAAATAGTAAATATCAACCTTATACTGGAAACAAGATATAGTAAATATCTACCTTACATAGGGTATAAAGAAATAGTAAATATCTACCTTACATAGGGTATAAAGAAATAGTAAATATCTACCTTATGTAGGGTATAAAGAAATAGTAAATATCTACCTTACATAGGGTATAAAGAAATAGTAAATATCTACCTTACATAGGGTATAAAGAAATAGCGAGTATCTACCTTATACTGGAAACAAGAAATAGCGAGTATCTACCTTACATAGGGTATAAAGAAATAGTAAATATCTACCTTACATAGGGTATAAAGAAATAGCGAGTATCTACCTTATACTGGAAACAAGAAATAGTAAATATCTACCTTACATAGGGTATAAAGAAATAGTAAATATCTACCTTATGTAGGGTATAACACAAATAGTAAATATCTACCTTACATAGGGTATAAAGAAATAGAGAGTATCAACCTTATACTGGAAACAAGAAATAGTAAATATCTACCTTACATAGGGTATAAACAAATGGTAAATATCTACCTGATGTAGGGTATAAAGAAATAGTTAATATCTACCTTACATAGGGTATAAAGAAATAGTAAATATCTACCTTACATAGGGTATAAAGAAATAGCAAGTATCTACCTTATACTGGAAACAAGATATAGTAAATATCTACCTTACATAGGGTATAAAGAGTATCTACCTTACATAGGGTATAAAGAAATAGCGAGTATCTACCTTATACTGGAAACAAGAAATAGCGAGTATCTACCTTACATAGGGTATAAAGAAATAGTAAATATCTACCTTATACTGGAAACAAGAAATAGTAAATATCTACCTTACATAGGGTATAAACAAATAGTAAATATCTACCTTATGTAGGGTATAAAGAAATAGTAAATATCGACCTTATGTAGGGTATAAAGAAATAGTAAGTATCTACATTATACTGGAAACAAGAAATAGTAAGTATCTACCTTACATAGGGTATAAAGAAATAGTAAATATCTACCTGATGTAGGGTATAAAGAAATAGTAAATATCTACCTTACATAGGCTATAAAGAAATAGTAAATATCTACCTTATGTAGGGTATAAAGAAATAGTAAGTATCTACCTTACATAGGGTATAAAGAAATAGTAAATATCTACCTTACATAGGGTATAAAGAAATAGTAAATATCTACCTTATGTAGGGTATAAAGAAATAGTAAATATCTACCTTACATAGGGTATAAAGAAATAGCGAGTATCTACCTTACATAGGGTATAAAGAAATAGAAAATATCTACCTTACATAGGGTATAAAGAAATAGCAAATATCGACCTTATGTAGGGTATAAAGAAATAGTAAATATCAACCTTATGTAGGGTATAAAGAAATAGTAAATATCAACCTTATGTAGGGTATAAAGAAATAGTAAATATCTACCTTACATAGGGTATAAAGAAATAGTAAATATCGATAAAGTAGTAAATATCGACCTTATGTAGGGTATAAAAAAAAGTAAATATCTACCTTATGTAGGGTATAAAGAAATAGTAAATATCGACCTTATGTAGGGTATAAGAAATAGTAAATATCAACCTTACATAGGGTATAAAGAAATAGTAAATATCTACCTTACATAGGGTATAAAGAAATAGCGAGTATCTACCTTCTACTGGAAACAAGAAATAGTAAATATCTACCTTACATAGGGTATAAAGAAATAGTAAATATCTACCTTACATAGGGTATAAAGAAATAGTAAATATCTACCTTATGTAGGGTATAAAGAAATAGTAAATATCAACCTTATGTAGGGTATAAAGAAATAGTAAATATCTACCTTACATAGGGTATAAAGAAATAGTAAATATCAACCTTATACTGGAAACAATATATAGTAAATATCTACCTAACATAGGGTATAAAGAAATAGTAAATATCAACCTTATGTAGGGTATAAAGAAATAGTAAATATCAACCTTATCTAGGGTTTAAGAAATAGTAAATATCTACCTTACATAGGGTATAAAGAAATAGTAAATATCTACTTGAAGTAGGGTGAATGATCTACTTTAAATGGCTAACTGATCAGTAGTAAGTGCACTAGAATTAGTAGAATTATTTAGTTGTACTGAAATTGTCCTACCAATAACTTATGTAAAAAGTAAAACTCTGTAGTACATTAAACAGAAATTGTGAATATCTACCGTAAATGTACTACACTGTAGTACGTTATCTAAACAAAAGTAGTGAATATCTACCGTAAATGTACTACACTGTAGTACGTTATCTAAACAAAAGTAGTGAATATCTACCGTAAATGTTCTATTCTGTAGTACGTTATCTAAACAAAAGTAGTGAATATCTACCGTAAATGTACTACACTGTAGTACGTTATCTAAACAAAAGTAGTGAATATCTACCGTAAATGTACTACACTGTAGTACGTTATCTAAACAAAAGTAGTGAATATCTACCGTAAATGTACTACACTGTAGTACGTTATCTAAACAAAAGTAGTGAATATCTACCGTAAATGTACTACACTGTAGTACGTTATCTAAACAAAAGTAGTGAATATCTACCGTAAATGTACTACACTGTAGTACGTTATCTAAACAAAAGTAGTGAATATCTACCGTAAATGTACTACACTGTAGTACGTTATCTAAACAAAAGTAGTGAATATCTACCGTAAATGTACCACTGTGTAGTACGTTATCTAAACAAAAGTAGTGAATATCTACCGTAAATGTACTACACTGTAGTACGTTATCTAAACAAAAGTAGTGAATATCTACCGTAAATGTACTACTGTGTAGTACGTTATCTAAACAAAAGTAGTGAATATCTACTGTAAATGTACTACTGTGTAGTACGTTATCTAAACAAAAGTAGTGAATATCTACCGTAAATGTACTACACTGTAGTACGTTATCTAAACAAAAGTAGTGAATATCTACCGTAAATGTTCTATTCTGTAGTACGTTATCTAAACAAAAGTAGTGTACTACTCTGTTGTACGTTATCTAAACAAAAGTAGTGAATATCTACCGTAAATGTTCTATTCTGTAGTATGTTATCTAAACAAAAGTAGTGTTCTACTCTGTAGTATGTTATCTAAATAAAAGTAGTGAATATCTACCGTAAATGTTCTTCACTTTAATCACAGTCTCATTCTTTTCCCACATCACTAGATCTGGCATCAGATTTAATTCTGTCTGATCAATTATTTCTCTAATTAGATTATTAATAATGTAATTAGCACTTAACAAGACACTAGCTACCCTAATAAGTTTGCTGATCACTACCAGATTTCCAGCTGTACAGAAGACCTCGACATCCTTGAATCATTTAGCAGTATGACCTGACATCTCACAGGAGTTGTGGTTCTTGGTATAAATGTTTGAAAATTACTAAACGTCACAGATTCTACCTCATTCTACAATTCATTTGATTGAACTTGACACAAAAAACACTTTCAATTATCAATGAAGTTTTATGCGTCGTAGATCTACAACAAGGCATTACAGCATACATTTAACAGACCATTCATATCTAATGGTTTTCTAACCTTGATATCCCGATCTCTCTCCATTGAATCTTAAATATTCCAATCTCTCTTACATAAAACATCTATTAATCACTCTGATTTGTTGGTCTGATTATAGCACAAGTTCTTGCTGCATAGAGCCTACAGAAAACCCTGTGCTTGGGAAGATGAATCCAATACAGCTTCATGTCAAATCTGAGAATCAACCTTTAGTCACATAAGTTAAAGTGGATCATGTTTCCTTAACTGTACACATTACCCAATGTCCTGTCTAAACCTCAACATCCACAACTTGCCTGTCTCCTATCCTTAGATATCCTGAACTGGGCCTGCTATCCATAAATACCCTTAATTTTACCTGCCAGAATTTGGTCTCCTAACTTTAAATACAAACATAAAATATACTGGTTTCCTGAAATTTTCTTATCATAATTTATCATCCTAAATTTGACCTTCTAAACATTAACATCCTAAATTTGACCTCATGACCTTTAAACTATCTCCCTTTAGCCATAAGTCTGTCCTTTATCACCATGCCAGCCTTTGAATCCTTGAAATTCCAACCCACCTGCCGGCCCCTGAACTCTATCTGGAAGTTTTTCGCCGACTCCTGCGTGACCCGTCCCCCAAAGTCCAGTTGGTAAACCTGACTGTTTTCATTCCAGAGTGGGGCCTTGTTATGCATCACAAATTGTCGCATCCCCATCTGTGGAAAGCTTGATCTCTCCTCACTCTTGCGTCGCACTTTTCGTAACTACAAAAACCAAGCATTCCTCTAAAGATCCCTCATGATACATTTTAACTCATTGATAATAGTGTTTAAAGTGATATTGCATGCAGCATTCTACTAAATCAATTATTCACAGAAAGTTATAACAAAAACATTTTCCATTTCAAGCCACATCTTTTAGCCATAACTTTATACTTTGTCATGTTCTCCATTTGATATCCCTCAGAGAAATAGCATTTTAATCAAAACTATAACGATTTAAAATAGAAAATGTCAGTAACAAATGAATGCTCCAACTCATTTGCATATCGTTTGATGAATTATGAAGTTGTCAAATGTAACCTTTGACCCTGTAACTTTAACCAATGGCTATCTTAATATTTAATGTAGAACATGGAGTTATGATACTAAGGTTAACCAAATCTGTTGAGCAGTTCTCAAGCTATGTGGAATGTGACATGATGAGAAAGGATAGGATGACATGAAGCTGGTTAATACTATATGCTCTCAAATAAATAAACAGAATCATACAATCTATAATTAATTTTCCTCTATCTGCATCTATGATGTGAGATATACATAACAAAACAAGAAATGTATGAAAAAGTGTGAAGATGTATAACATTACATCCTGATCAATTAAAACAAATTTATAGGTTTCAATGTACAGTTTTTTTCATGTAAATCTTCAACCTACCTTTTGTTTAAATTGAGCCTTCTGGAATGATTCTAGATTTTTATAATTGTGAGTAAAACGGATTTCCTCCACAGACGATGAGAGATCCTCATCGGAACTTTCCAACTGAGCTGAAGAGTATTTTGACTTGCGTTTGAATATCGGGCTGTAATGTTTACATTTGCCTTTAAGAACTTCCTCTCGAAGTTTCCTTGTTGGAGAATCCCCTTTCGGACTTCTCCTGATAGGGGATGCTGGAAGAGAAGCACTGTGATTGATTTCGAAGTCTGGGGTGCTTATAGAAAACGGATCTCTGTGGAGACTGGTGCTGCGTTCATCATCACCAAAGAAATCCTTAGTTTTGAGATTGCATGAGTGTGACTTAGGTGAATATGAAGGACTGCTTGTTATACTTTCGTTATCCGTCAAATTGGTGTGCGAATCCATGAAATCAACACTATCATCCTCTGTTGCTAAGGAATCAACACTTTCTCGCCTGTCAAATAATAATTCGGAAACATCTTTCCCAGCATCCTTTAGTAATTCCTCTGATGCTGCGAGATACAAACGTTTTTGATGTTCTGACGTGAGGTTTGATGTTGGTGTCAGTTGACTAGAATCACATATCACTGTATTTTCGTGGTTTGTCTCCACAGTTTTACTGTAATCCTTATCATCATCAATAAATTTAATTCCACAATTGGCACGATCTGCCCACCGGTTTTCCTCATCGTATTTCATTATGTCTTCTACTTCGTTATGTAAACTTGTTCGCATAACACCATTCATGGTGGGACTGTGGTTTAATTCGGAATTACCGCCATCCTCTGAAGCAGAAGAAATGTTTACTTCTGTCATTTGAGATCCTGTGGAAAAAGGGAAGTTTTTCACCTTTGGCTTGGCCCCTTGGCCGACATATTTATCTTTGAGCACTGCATTGGAGTCACAATTAAAGGCATTGTTTTGAGCAAGAGATTCTGTAGCAGGTGACAGTGACCTATTTTTCATGTTTGGCGTCCTTGAAGGTCGCTCCGTACCAACTAAAACATTACTAATGCCGCAACTTTCACTCATCAGGTCCAAGAAGGGTTTGTTATCTTCACTGTGATTGGTTGAAGAATTGGATGGAAGCACATCGACCACAACTTGATTTTTGTTGTTGCTGCCAGCAACAGCTGTTTCTGTGACAACAAGGATCCCTTCGTCATGACAGTAGTCCCCACCATCATACAACATTTCATCAAAAGCTGCAAAATGACACAATAAAATATCAGCTGTTTAGTCATTTCTCCAATACAATTAGAAAAAAAATCACATTATTTATCAGTAAACATGGACAGGATGAAAGATGATAATAATTAATTTGAATGATTTGAACAATTCGAAAGCTTTTCATTTCAGAAAATTCATATTTCAGTAATACATGCTGTTCTCTGAAGAGTTTTTTCACCACATGGTTTTGATAGCAGGAACAATTTTTAGGTTCAAAGTTTTGATACTAATGACCTGGATGAAAGGTCAAAGTCACTGATTTGAATGTTGTAAATAGGACTTTTCCAAGAGAATTAGTTATTAATCTCTTGCCATGAAATCTATACATGCTCATTTACATAATGGTATGGCTAATTGCAAAAAAGTGTTCAAAGTTGATACCATGTGGACAAGCAAATGGTCAATGGATAGTAAGGTTACAAATGGAACAAATGGTGGCTAATGGAAGTCAAAATACATCAACAACATAGTCTAAAAATTTATTTATGTCTTCCAAATCCATTTATTCAAATCATCATTTTTTATTCTGCAATAATCCTGGGCTTCTTTTAGGATAAATATTGAAAGTGGAACAGATTGCTAAATATTTGCCCTTTGACCTAACAAACATACATGACTGATCGCTCTCCTCCTCTATGGCCCGAGCTGGTGAAAAGTTGGGGTCGCGGCTGAGAAGCTGTCCATCACTACGTATCTCGGTGACCGTGATGGTCATCTGTCGTGGCTGGAGATGAAGCAGACTTGTCTTGTAGAGGATATGGCCTAGATCCTCAGGCAGGAATGGCATTGTTCCTGTGATATGGAACTTTGTTCCCCATATATTGGATGTCACTTCCAATAGTTTGGAGCTCTTTAAATAACAAAAGACCAAATTTATTATCAACTTCTCCATCAATCAAAATCATGTGAAGTCATATTTCGAGCCCAAAGCTACTTCATTTCCATATTTATTACATTTTTAGTTACATATAGCAGAATTTTAAATGAGTTTCGATTCTGAGATGTCATGAAATTAATTTGAAAGTTTTTATCTTAATAAGGATTGGTCATAAATCTTGTATGAAAAAGAAATGAATTGAAGATTTTTATGACCATGTTCTGCAGATGACAATCACCAAGTCATTGACATCTTCATCTTGACAAATACATTGTCCTCAACACAATCTCATGTCAACATGTTATCAGTTATATGCTTCTGTGACACAATGGGTAATATTCATTTAAATTCATAATGCACAACAACAGCATATGGTTCTACTGTCACTAGTATGGAATGTATTCAAGATAATATTTATGTGAATTGTTATTTATTATTTTTTTCCTTAAGGAACAATTTGTAGTATCTTCTTGTCTACCACAATATCCTAGAATTAAGTGGGTTTGATTGCGTCATTCAAATCCTATGATGTCTCATTTCTATCAAGTGTGCTGGGGTCAAAAAGGGGGATTATTTTGAGTACCTAAATATCACCACAAGTTATCCAAAATGAAAGACCACAGAAAATTTAATTTATGAACTACATAAGGAAACACAGTATAACTTTTTATTTCCTTGTATTTGTATTTCTGCTGAGGCCATCAGGCAGGAGGTGGGTGAAACTTGAAACAAAACTCTCCTACAATAGGTCTTTAGCTGTCTGTATTTGGCTCAGTTTACACCAAATGTAGAGTTGTGGTAAAGTTAGATATTTTCTTGGGAAGAATATCCTTCGAGTTTATAAGAACAAACCTCTGGTAGACTGTCATTATAGAGTAGTTCATCAAGGGTTCGGAATGTTATAGATCTTTCAACTTTGGCAGCTCGAAACTGTTTTGGCCTCTTCTTGCGTTGCATTCTGGGAGATCCACATCCATCTGTTGAAATGTCGCTGTCAGAGTCAGAATCAGTTTCATATTGAGGCTCATATTGAGCATTTCCATTGGTTGCTGAAAATTTTAAAAGTGATGATGTAATTTTGACAGAATATAAAAAAATTGTTTTTTTTTTTTTTTTTTTTACAGGGATGCAATTTTTATGGTTAACAGTAATCTTAAAGCAATCTATTTGTATTTTTCATGTAAACTTGGAATGGTTCAAGGTTCTCTACTGCTTTTATCTTCTTGGTACTATAGACATACATATTTTCGCAGTACATGTAATCTTATTCTAACACTTTTCGGGCTAAAGATAATGTGCTAAAATATAAATTCATTGATTACAATTGCTTTTTGTTGGTGTACGACAATTATTTCCAAAATAAGTGCCACCTGAAAATAACATTCACAACAGTAAGTATTCTGTTTTACAGGCAATCGTAGATATGTGTACCATGTTATTTTATTGTCAGATGTCCCAAAGTGTTGAACCAAACGCTAAATTTCTGCATCTAGTGCCTGAACCTTTACAAGTATTCAACTACTCCTAACATTTCATGCGAGATACAATCGTGCAATCTGTCCTTGAATCAAACACAACTTTACGTAACAAAGGAATGCTGTAAAATGTTGTTGTGAGAGAGAAACAGACAGAACAATAGATAATGGGGATGGTTTTGCAGGCAAAGTGACTGGACATCACTCAGGGGCTCCGTCTGTAATGGTGGTGTTGTCCATTGATCGATAGCCATTCCAGAGACAAACTAACACATAAAATACTTTTATTTCTTCACATGTTAGTCGTTTATATATCAAACATCCTACAAATCAATAACAACATTTGAAAATGCAGTTTCCTTTTCTTGTCCATTTCTAATCTTGATAGTGAACTACCTTTTAAAACTGGTACTGATGCTAACCCTTCTTAACTCCATATTTCCAGTCCTAATTTTAGGAAAGAAATTTTTAACCCTTAGCTCTCAATTTAGACATTAATAATCGCTACATCTTCTAATTTGATTCACAATTTTCGAAATATTAGTATATTAGAAAGGGTGCTTAAAAGCATTTTCTTCAATGTTTGATGAAACAGAGATTTATAATCATATACTGCTTGGAAGCTTAATGAGTAAGTGCAAATTTTTTCCATGGATATTCCACAATGCTGACAACTCTGAACATGACGAAAGACTCAGTATGTGATCTTGGCACCCATCAATACAGATCTTTATTGGTTCTTTATCAATGGTATCATTTCCCTTATTTTCTCTGCATTACCATCCCTTCAGAAATCAAAAACGCACCCCTAGGGACTGAGAAGATGTATTAAACTTGAAAGTGATCCATTCAGAACGTCAAGACATGATGATAACGATGTACAACTGTCATAACCCAAGATGATTACCTGTTGGCCAACTTTGTTTTATTCTGCTCTGTCCCATAACAAGCAATACATAACTAGAGAGTAAGAAAAACCTGCACATGAAATTTGAGAATGATCCATCTAGTACTTATTCAGAAACAGAGATAAAAAGCAAACTTTCAAAATCAGCCATTTTGGAAGTAAAAAATTGATGTCTGAGAAAGATACTATGCTACTTCTTAAGAATCAGTGACAACAAGCTTCAACTTTCCAAATCTTATATGGCCTGTTTGCCATTATGTTTCCTTGACCATTCCTATTGCAAAACTAGGGACTGAAGGGAGTCTATGTATAAAATTGAAGAAAGATATGTCTAAGACTCTTAAAGAAATTGCGATAAAAAGAATTGCTTCTAGAAAGACAAATGGATGATGGACAGATCACAGATGAAGATCAATTTTAAGAGCACATCAATAGTGGGCTTATAAAAGCGGACTGAAAGAATGGGGTGGGCTTGTCATGGATGTGCTTATTACCAGACATCAGCTTTTTGCCAGATAAATACCATACCAGATTTCCTCTCCCCCCTCCCACTCCCCTTAAAAGCTACTATGAAAACTTATTGGGTTTCATACCCTCAGGGCTAATAAAACACCTTTGATCCTAAGTGTGGTATCAATTCTGGGTTTATTCTAATGTCCTTGTATTCATAGGATTGGATTTACAGTGTAAAACATGTGTTTACGTATTGGAAGAGTTTCATAGGACCCAATTACAGCACCAATTACATCAGATCAGCAACACAGCTAAATCAATCGTGGAGAGACAGGAAGCAGAGAAGATCTCTCACAGCACATGTAGACTGATATCAAATATAGTAAATCCATAAATGTTTGGGAATGCGGAATGATAAAATGCATAAATCCATCATCTCAATTCAAATTACCAACATGGGCCAGCTAGGGTAACATTATTATAACACCAATCAAAAAAATAAAAAGCAGTTGAGTTTAAAGTTATTCTTGAATGGTCACATCTACATCAGACACTCATGAAGCAAGCCACTTTACAACCCCGACCCTGACAATTTGATCCCAAGAGTAATAGTGTTCTTGTCCCTTGAAAATGATGAAAAAAAACCCGAAAATTTCTTTCAAACACAAGTTTCAATGAAGTACATTCATATGCCATAAAAATTCTTCACAGATTTATATTCTTTTGTATGGGAAAACCATAACTTAGTTCTTGACTTAGCTTTTTACCTTTGACCTGTAAATTGGTGTTTTGAAAAAGTGCTTGAAAAATGAATTCCACCAATTTACTATGAATCTGAAATATCCTAAAAGCATAAACACACTTCAATAAATCAATAAATAATAAAAAAAAAAGCTTTGACATCAAGATTATGATGATTTTTATTTTGTCATGAATTCAACCTTGAAATGAAAAAAAATGAAACATGGTTGCTCATTTTTATGCTCTAAAATATGATGCAATAATTTTCCATATAATATCTAGAAGTTTTCGCCAGCTTCTAGAGACTTCAGTTTTAGTTCTGCATGTATGCTAATATATAATATATTAAATATCTGTCAATATTTTTATAAATGTATCATTTTATGTTGAAAGTGGGACAGTAACAAGAATCTTGAGGATGTTTAAACTGGAAAAAAGAAATTAATGACTGTGTCTGGGAATCCCACCCCCGTCCCCTGTCCTCGAAAGAATGAATGACTATCAATTTTGTGATTTTATTGGTCTGCTCCACTTACAGAATGCAGGCCAAATGGTTTTGCCAATATCTGACCTCCAGAATTATTAAGTATGGTACCCTAACTACTACAGCTTGTGATTTATCTGTAGAGACTCAGAATATCTGTAACAGGAAGGAAGGCAGTGTGTGTGTGATGTCTGAGAGATGGTATAGATTGTGTTTCCTCTATAAAATGAACGAGGTTAGCATACTGCTACATCTATACTATATAATGGTCAGAACCACTACAACCAGTGTGGGCAAATATGCTCACTTCTAAAGAGTATGTAATCAGTAACATCAACAGGCACCTTCCAACTCCTCCACAAAAAAAAAATTAAAATTTAAACTTTATTTTTCTATTTTGCAACTCATATTCACTGAAATTCACTCTTTCTTTAAAAGTGAAGGGATTGAAACCTGCAAGTGGTCTTCTTGTGAGAGAAAAACTGGAACATTTGGGGAAAGCCTATGTGGTCAGGCAGGTGACCACATACCTTTCACTTAGATGGGCAACTGGAAAAAAATAACACAACATGAAAACACACAGGTGACATAACTGCTTTTGAAAACTGTCTACCAAACTGTACCATACACAATGTAGGTTTGAGATAATGGCTACGTGCTACAATACATTATTACAACAATACCTTTAATGGGTCTTTTAGAGTTTTCTCTCTTTCAAGCACCCATTAAAGTTATCTCCCTTTTGATTACATGCAAGAGTTATCTCTCTTCTGATGACCGGTGACGGTTACCTCCCTTTTCATAACATAGAGTAATATTAACTGTTTAATCACCCATCAGAATTATCTTCCTTTCATGCTGAAAGTAAAATGTGGGGTTTTGGTTTTAGTCGAAACTGAAACATACACTATACATACATGTACAACTAAAGCAAAATTGGTTTTCTGCAGACAAAAACAAAAGATTTATTTTAACAAACTTAATCTGAAGCCCTTTATACGGTTGTTCAGATTGTATCCTAGAAGAATTGAAACTATAAACTATCAATCCTACTGCTTCAAGAGTCCATTTCAGATAATAATCCCATCTACAACTTACTGTTAATGCCAACAACTGTTGGTATGTATTAATGAGTAAATTCCATCTCCCTCATAGGATTAAGAATTTACTATGATTATTTTTTTGGTGTGTGTGTTTAAACTCCCTGGGCTTATTACAGGCTATGTTCCGTATTATCAAAAGTTCCCTACATGAAATAAAGTTAACAAGGTAGACAAATTCAACAGTCAGAAAGGCGACAAAGAATCCCAATAATATGATAATTGACCAGTGGACCCTGGTATATGATGGACAGACCTACGGACCCTACATTACAATGATGGACAGACTTAAGTGGAAAGGCCAGAATAATGGTAAATACCAACCCTGTTGTCTAGACACTTGGAAACGTGCAAGGATAGCTAACAACAAAAGTTCAAAATTGATGACTACAATCGAACAGTTTTGTGTAGCTATTGATCAGAACTCTGAACTGTCAAGTTTAGTCAGAACACAATGCTTGAATAGCTTACACTGGTCATTCTGAATGACATCTCATAAATAGACTGTATTATGTATCGAAAACGAGATAGACGGTGATTGACTTGACCAACCCTATAATCTTCTGGAGTCTTATACACTGCGAACAATCCATCATCAAGCACATTATCACCGTAGAAACTTTGTAATCTGTCTCACTGTGCTGTTATGCTTCTAAATACGCTTTCATTACATTTGACAGTTTCTAACTGAATTAATTCTTTTTTTTTTCTGTGCCGATTCAATCTGAGCTGAATGGAAGTTTTGTGTGTCCTTGACCTACTGCCATTAAAACAGAAAACAAGTAGGCCAGTAGTCCACCAAGTAATGCTACATCTCCGATTTCATTGTATCAGAATCAACAGAGTTCACCGGATATAAGGATAACAACAGTAAAATAAACAAGTATGACATCAGCTTCATCGTACCGTTCAAGATAATGATGTCTCTTCATTCCTAAACTTCAGTATTATATTGTTCTGTATAGTAAGATAACAATTTAAGTGTAATGGAGGCAGGATTCTATATCTTGTAACCTGCAAAATCTCAACAAATGATTTAAATACACAGAAGATGAGATGCAGCTTTGGGTTTAATTTTTTCTAATTTTGTGGTAGTCGTCTATAGATGAATTCCTTTGGAGTAGAGAGTCCAGTTCAAAAATGAACATGAAAATATCAACAAAATTTATTGGAAACAAATCTCACTGATATTTTCTGATGGATGTTGTCCAGTCATCTCTACCTTCAATCTCGACAATTTGATCTACCATGATCCTTTGAAAATGTGTGATAATAAGCCCACCCATTGATATTTTCTGTTCAGTTATATGACATTAGGAATTTCTTTTATGTTCCATCGATGTTTATATTCACCGTTGAAGCTATGGGCATGATTTTCACAGATTAAAGTAACAAAAAAGATATGATTGTAGTTTGTATTGTGCCTTTAAAGCATTAAATATTTCAGCATGCTCCAAGCCAGTTCCAACACATTTCTCGCTCATATTACAGTAAATGTTAAAAATATAAAGCATTTTACTAAATCTGATAGGACTAGCTCATAAACAATCCACAAATGTGTTTTTACGTGCTTTTATTTTACAAAGTTTAGAGTCTGTTTAGTCATACTAAGTTTACCACTACCTTATCCTTTTTTTCTTTAACAGTAACGGAAGCTATAAAGTAGACCCATAGGAAAATAAACTTCTCAAAAAGCTTTCTAAACTGAAAATAAAACATTTGAAAACTAAGACATTTAAATGTGATACAGCTGAATTTAACAAAAAAAAATTTGTGTAAATATAAATGTGAAAATCTGAGGACAGGAAAGAATGCGTTATCTGTCCGCATCATCGTTGTACACAACAAACGACTTCACTGATATTCAAGATACGATTTGCCGTGGCACTCACAACTTCCTATTTGCATCCCATTGACAAGACATTAGCGCCATTTCCCAGAGGTATGACAAAGAAGCTTCGTCAGCAAGTGATATTGGAAATTACTACAAAATGGCTAAATGGTCCTTCTATACTGAGAAATGTTGTGGGATGGTTGTATTTTTAGTAACTATTGTGTAATAGCTGTCAGTGTGATGCTCATGGAGCTTATGTTCTGGGATCTATTATAGGTTAGCAGCATGGTCAGTGTTAACTGGCAACTGTAATGGACAGACAGCATCTTTAAAAGTACAAATTCTGAAACAACACACAATAGAGTCTCCCTGTCTTTACTGTGGTCGACTTATTTGTAAGTAATAACCCCAGGGACTAGCACAGAATTCTGACAAAACCTCCAGGATTGCTTATTATAGGATACTAGTTTTAGCACTGGTTACTGTTTTACTATATTTATATGCGGGCAGTTATTTTTGGAATTCAGATATCTAAGTCCTGGACTCATACTTTTATTGCGGGATTCATCCAAATTTTGAGAATCCACCCTATCTCTTAGTAATGGAACTCATCAAATTCAGAAACTGTGTACGGGACTAAAATGCAAAAAAACTGCAAATATCACTGTGTGTGTGGGCTTATATAATTACTACCAGGCATGGGCTCTTGTCCAAAACATAAGGTACATTGTACAGCAGTATGTTGACTACCTGATCCTACGTAAGCAAAAGACCAGTACAAGGAAAATCCAGACTTTTATACCAGGGAACTACTAGCAGGAATGAGTTCAAGTAATTAATGACAGTGCACACACTGGCAATGCCTTGTGCAGCTCCAAAAAAAGAGTTGATCACATTTCCAAAAATAATTATTGAACCACAGTTGGCAGCTGCAAAGAGGATTAGTTGCTTAAGGAGTTCATTGTTATGAATAGTGCAATTAATAATGGTTGTAAAAAAATGGTTAAGACACCTTTTTCACATGTACTAATTAAGTTATTTGGAGTGAAGAAATTTCATGAGGAAAACACAGCAGTTCAAATAATTAAAAGTCATATTGACACCCACACACAAAATTTAAAACATGCTTTCCCAAGTCCCCAAATAGATATGTGTTCATGAAATTTTAAATGAATATAAACATATATCTTTCCCAATCAAACATTTAATCACAACTGAATTTTGCATCTCTTGTCCTTTAAAGTCAGTTCTACACATTTTTCACCAATAATATGTACTATCAATAATAAGATTTAATCAGATTAAAGAACTGTATGAAATTATTATCAATATTTCAACGGCTAGTTCTAATTGATCTGGATTGCTTGTAATAGGCTTCTCATATGATGTTCAGTGAGGTAGCTCAGGCTACAAGGTTGACCAACCCCTCAAAATGACCCCGGGCAATAAGGAGCCACGACAGATCTGTTGATAAAGTGTAGACCTAGCCAACCTCAGGTAAAGGCCAAGGTGCATGGCCTGGGGCTCCCTCCCCATGGCAGATTCTGTTCCTCAGAAAGCTGAGATATGGACTGGCTGGTTCTGTTATGTGTTCTTAGAAAAGGTAATTTACCCTTAATGCTCTATATGGCATGGGTCAGGCCTCCTGTATGTTGTTCAGTGAAGTAGCCACCAACTACTATAAGGAGACCCTGTCTTAAAATGACCCTGGCTATTCACGGGGAGATAAACTTTGTAAATAAACAAACATCAATTTTCTACCTCCACAATAAACAGGTCATGATATCTGGTAACCGTTTTTATTGTGTTGTTTGCTTGTTAAGGTTTGTTTTTGAGAAACCTTTATTTTATTTAGAAGTTGATAGTTCTTCACTTGTGTTTTTTCTTTGTTTTTTTTTAATTTTTGTTTTAGTTGTAACAAAACTGTACTGTATGCCATAAGGTTGAGATATTAAAGAACAAAACTCCACAAATTGACAAAAACCAACCACGACTGACTTTGGTATTAACACATATCCGAACAAGAACTGGGTCAATTGACTTCAAGCCATTGAACATAATTGGTTTTCCTTGAAATAAAAACTTGAAGACGTTTGACATTACATAAAACTGTGGTGCCACCACGAGTGATGTGCCAATCACACAGCCATTGACATTCTGCGACACTGTTTTAAACCATGTTGTTAATCTTAAGTGTATTTTCTAACCAGGACCACATTGGTTGTGAGACGTTTTCCATGAACTGTCACATCTCCATATCAACATTGATGGACAACTGACAAATCAATATAACACACTGCATTAGTCCAATAATCTGAAATCTGTAAAAGTAATCATCTCGTCAATGGCTAAGGAATTCGGAACAAACCTTCGTAGTTGAGATTGTGTGGGTGGGAAAGGGAATCAAAGACTGGAAGAGACAGAGTGGAAGATAAAGTGCTCCCTGTTGGAAATAATGGAATGAATGATATCAGAAATTAAAAAAAAAAATATTGCGAGAATGTGACACAGAAAAACAAGAGAATTCCTCATCACAGATGTATAACTGGAATTTCTCACCATGAGACATGAGCGTAAGGATATTGCGTATATCTGCTATCTTCAGTCAACTTATCGATCGAAACTTCGTTTCATTAGTAGTACTGTTAGTATCAAACCTTTTTTACAAACCTTACATTCAATTAGTTTCTGTATGTAGTTTTAACACTTTGTTAATAATAACACTGACTCCATAGAAAGTCTAAAAATAGATTTGGGTTGTTAGTCAAGAAAATGGTGCATGACCCTCGGTAAATAACCATCAGTCACGTCTCCCGTCAGGCACTAACTCGTTAATTCTAATGTGGTGAGCCTTTTAGGTGTGGAACTTTCAGTCGTCAGTAAGACCATCACAGGCAACACCTTCTGTATAAATAAATTGGAATTCCCATGTTTTCACATCCAACCTTATATTCTTATGCCAGTGCTCTGTTAATAAGACTAAAATATAGTTAAATGGTTCTCAATAAAACCTCTATAGAACGACTACCTGCCTTTAAAGACCACTTGTTTCAGTTCTATTCCCCAAGGAAACCATTCTATTGAAGAATTACCATCTATACTGATTGCTTGTGTTGAGGCGTTTCTGTTGCATAGTTCCTATAATTGTTACCCAATTATTCTCAAACCTCTATAGAGAGGTCACATGCCTATAAAAGTAACTTTTTTAAAAGGCCTTTATAGACAAGTTTGATTGCAGTATGTTCTACACTTAAAAGCCCTTATCTGTGGTGGTAGAGTTTTTCTTTTTGGTATTTGAAATCCTATCATAACAATAAAAAAAAAATTACAAATCTTCTAATTTTTAAGAAATATGTCAAGAGCATGGTTACCATTGCTGCAGATATCTCGATGGTTCTAGAAATGAACACTATGAAGAATTAATCAGCCTTTCTGTGATAATTAGATATATACATGTGAATAAGAATTTGACCTAATTTTCCTCTTGTTAACACCATTACATGGTACGTAGGGTCCTTATAACAGAGCTCAGGTCAGTGCAAGATTGGACATCAGTACCTAAATTATCTCCCCCGTGTCACAATGGAAACAGTGACAGAGGAGGCTTTCACACAACAAAACAAATTCTCACCCTCAGGATTAGTCTTTGTTTTAATCTTCGGATCGTAAACGACAAAGTCTGGCCTTAGTTTACTGGCACGTTTGCCCTTCAGAAGCGGGATGAGACCTCCAAGATACTCTAAGTACAGTGTATAATGGCCGCCAGATGTCTCCTCTCCGTGACGAACCATCGTACAGAAGAGACGTTCATTCCCTGGAGGGGTGGATGTAACAAATTCTCGTAACTTGAACGGATCTGGAACATAACTCTGGAAGAAAACAAGACAAAATGTGATATTTATGTCAAGTTTATACACAACTGGCTGATCTTATTGGCACAAAATTTCAATAAAAGTATCATAACATTATATTATAACATATCATTGCATGTTGTCATGTGTTTTTTAACCATAACAAATGTTCTTTGTAGCAGACAAATGGTTTGATATCACATGAAAACAACAGTTTTTGAAAAATAAATGATTTACTGTATCATTGGGTATCTAGTGTACATTTTTCACATAGTCACGTAACTATATATATATTATAATCCTGAACAGAACAAGAGGCCTACATGACCTGTGCCACTCACCTGGTTTTGCAAGTTTTCCCTTATGGAACCCCTCCCTTCCAAATTAAGACAAAATATTGTCATTTCTACAGCATTAGCTATATATCCCCTATTGGGTACCAGCCTTCCCACTCCAGGGGACTGAGACCCACCATTTATTTAAAAAAAAAAGATTCTCCTTCACTCAAACAATGTTTCAGATCAAAAATTGGGAAAAAGTCCTGACATTTCTACAAAAAGAAAGACTTTAAACAATTTGCTCTATTTCCCATGTTAGGCCCTGATTAGCCTCATCCCATGGATACAGCTTTTCCCTAGGGGTGGGGACAGAGATCAGTTGTTCATCTCCTGAAATCCAGCGATGCTATGAAGTTATGGGATGATGATCTCAATGGCTTCAAAGATATAATCTGTCCTGGGGTGGGACGAGACCCCAGGACAAATTATCAGCTATGTGTTTATCTCCTGATGTTCAGCAATGCTATAGCTATTCCAATAGGGATCAAACTGTTTCAAAGATCCAAATGAATTGTTGATGGTGCAATGGAATGATATTAAAGTGAACTAAATCTACTTGAGGGTTAGATTTTCCATTGGGTCCCACTCTTATGTCCCCAGGGGGCTGAAACCCACCATTTATACAAAACTGATTTCCCTTCACTCAAGTATGCATCAGACCAATTTTGGACAATATCCTGCACTTCCTGAAGAACAAGATAGGTTTTAAAGAAATTCAGAGATCTTCCTTGTTGGATCCTGCCTCTCTGACCTCAGGGGACCAAGACCCACTGTTTTTTTACAAAACTGATTTCCCTTCACCGAAGGAACCTTTAGACTGTTTTTAATTGCAATCCACTCAGGCCTTCATGAATATTTGCAATATATAGTAAAAGTTGACAGACAACGGACAACAGAGGCCACGGTATCCCTACAGGTCACTTGGCACTTACGGCCAGGGAAGCTAAAAAGGATGCCCGTCATGGGGAAACAGATACATATGATATGACATATGTTCATCAGTCCTTAGGGTAAAATGAGCCGGAAATTGTTGCAAGTCTTGTCTGAATGCATATAATTAAAATAACCAGCATAAAATATCACTCTTTGATATATACGTTTTTAGTTTACAACAGATTACATGTGAAATATTAGAGCTAAAATTACCTAGTTTGCAATACAACAGGTTATATGTGGATTATTATAGCTGATTATAACTAGATTAAAATACAACAGATTATCTAAGGATTATTACACTTGATTATAACGAGTTTGCTATTCAACAAATTACCTGTGAATTATCACAGCTGTTATAACCAAGTTTACTCTAAAACATATTATCTGTGGATTATCATAACTGATAAGACTAGTTTACTATACAACAGATTATCTGTGGGTTATCACAGCCAATATAGTAACCTAGTTTACTATACAACAGATTATCTGTGGGTTATCACAGCCAATATAGTAACCTAGTTTACTATACAACAGATTATCTGTGGGTTATCACAGCCAATATAATAACCTAGTTTACTATACAACAGATTATCTGTGGGTTATCACAGCCAATATAGTAACCTAGTTTACTATACAACAGATTATCTGTGGGTTATCACAGCCAATATAGTAACTTAGTTTACTATACAACAGATTATCTGTGGGTTATCACAGCCAATATAGTAACCTAGTTTACTATACAACAAATTATCTGTGGGTTATCACAGCCAAGATAGTAACCTAGTTTACTATACAACAGATTATCTGTGGGTTATCACAGCCAATATAATAACCTAGTTTACCATAAAACAGATTATCTGTGGGTTATCACAGCCAATATAATAACCTAGTTTACTATACAACAAATGATCTGTGGATTATAACCACCTAGCTTAATCTGATATCAGCCTCAAGGACAGTGCCTCACAAGTTTTGAATCAACAGCCACTTACTCCTGATTAAACCAGTACCATGTATTGCCGTTTAATTAATGAAATTCACAGAGTTGGCCAAGCAAGTAATTATTGGTCTGATATCACACTAGGTTTAGTTAGAGTTCCTGTGGTCTTCGTTCATTGCCCCGAGCTTTGGGGATACCATATCATACGATCAGTCAGGCGCATGATGGAAATCCATATGAAAGATGGTTTAGACTGCGACATGTATCTAGGTCTTTTACACAGCTAAGAGGCATTGAGTCTCCAACACTACAGATCTATTTACTTATTAAGCAACTGAGTGACTTATTTCATATTCCACAAGAATCTTAAAACAGTAAATTCTATAAAAAAATCATTTATAACACAGGACAATACGCCAGGTGTCAGCAGTGGTAGAGGTTCTTATATGTAGTAGAATAAAGAATGGATATGTTACCAGGGTTTTTAATTCACTCTTAAACATAATATGAATTATAGCAAAGCCATTTGGAATGAGCTTAGTATTATCACTGATGTATTTCACTGTGGTAAACAAACATGACAAAAATAAGCATTAATGGGAATTTCACTTTCGTTTCATAACTTCATGACTGATAGGATGTATGAAATTTTTCACCTTTTTTCCTTTACATGTGCTACATTTAGAGCTTGCTTCATGAGCAAGAGATGACAATGACTTTATTCTTTTCTCTAATCATTTTAATTTTCATTAAACAATGTCAGGAACAATATTGATTAAGTTGTTAATGACTAAAGTATGATCTAGAAAATTATCTTAAACCTGGATTATTACTTCAATGGATGTGTATTTACCATTTCTACCAGTTACTGTATATCTACCTACTTAAGTAATTTTGTGTTTTACCATTTCTACCAGTTACTGTATATCTACCTACTTAAGTAATTTTGTGTTTAACCATTTCTACTAGTTACTATATATCCATCTACTTAAGTAATTTTGTGTTTAACCATTTCTACCAGTTACTGTATATCTACCTACTTAAGTAATTTTGTGTTTTACCATTTCTACTAGTTACTGTATATCTACCTACTTAATTTTGTGCAAGTATTTAGCACAATTTGACAAGTTCAGTTTCATAGCAAAATGACTAAGTCTTAGGTAAAGGGATGATCTTTCTTTTCCATGACGAACTTGAGATCTGGTATTTATATTTTTCAAAACTCTCCATCTTCTTTGCTTTTTGCTTCTTCTTGGGATTTTTTTTCTTGATCTATTTCCTGTGAGGTTATTTCCTATTCAGACATTTAATGTCTTTCTCTTTCTAAATAGTTCTTATTATCTAAGATTCTAAATTTTAACGAGCAAAGGCCCACTTGTTCTCAGTTCTTATTATCTGAAGATTCTACCACAAATATTTGCCTATTGTGTGCGCTCATACATAATCAGGTGTTTTTTTTTTTTTAAATCTAACGGAGGGGGTGGGGGGTGGGTGGGAATCTTCCTGGAGAGGAAATTCTGCAACCTCGTACAAATACTTGGCTGGGTCAAACTACAAGTCTCCTGATCAGAAAACGATGTTATTTTCACGAGGTGTTCATAATGAATTGAACAGAACAAGGTGTGATCTGAAAGACATAATTACCAGGTAGACACTGATTAACTTTTCACATCTTGTCAGTGACTGTCATGACTGTCTGAGCTGACGATAAAAGAATTATTTGGGATCGATAGGAAATCAAGACCAAGTCTGTGCAAGAAAAACCTACTGGTACTTGATTCCTTTCTATATCAGCAATCTTTGTATGATACATGTAGAATATAATTCACAAAGATAATACTCAGGTTGCAATTTATAACCAAAGAGATATCTAGCATCTTACATCAAATGATGTCAATGTATTTGAATTGATTCAAGTTTCATTTCATGCCTCATTTCAGACGAGTCTAAATACACCAATATCAAAGGAGGATAGATACATATATCAGACCTGATTTGCACGGATCATTTGATCCTTACGGCGTGGATTAATACCATCCAACATCAGAAAAAGTTCGTATTTGTCTCATATATCTCACCTGAAAAGCAACCTTAAACAAGCCTCTTTGGTTAAGAAGCATTTTATGATGTTTGAGACTTATTGTCCAAAGGAAACTCAAGTAATCACACAAAACCAATTTTGTTTTAAAATTTACAATGACCTTCATTTTGACCTTAAAAGCACTCCCAGCAAGTACCTTTGGTAAGAAAGCACTGAAATCTGCTGTTGATCTCTTAAGAGAACTTCAGTTATGCAAAAAACGATTTCCCATTCATAGTGACAATGATCTTGACCTTTGGCCTTTGAACCTGAAAAGCAATCCCAAGCAAGCACTTTTTGTAAGCATGCACTATATGGAGTTTGTGGTTGATCAATAAAGGGAACTGGAGTTATTGTGAAAAAACCTTAACGCAGACAACAGAGCTGCTGTCACTATCGCCATATTGCTTATTGAAAAAGCATGCTACAGGCCCAATATCAATATCATGGACCTTTTGGTAATTGAGAAGAAGTCATGTAAACATATCAACACATTTTACCCCTGTGAGCTTGAAAGATGGTCAAGGTAATTTATTTTAACAAACTTGGTAGCCCTTCATCCCAGTATGTTAAAGGCCAAATGACAGTACCATGGACCTTTTTGTTATTGAAAAGATGTTGTTTAACAATTTTAACATATTTGACCCCTATGTACTTTAAAGCAGGTCAAAGTCAGTTATATTAACAAACTTGGTAATTTTCATCCAAGCATGCTACAAGCCTA